AAGCGGGGAAGGGTTCTTTCACCCAAGTTGAAGAAAGGTTCACCGGCCGACCCTGGAAAGAGGGGGGTCCAAGCTGGAACCCCTTTGCCGATGACTCACGAAGGCGCACCTTTCTACCAGTGGAATGTTCATCTGGCCCGACGCCGCCACGGCGGTGAATGGGCCTGCTGCGCACGCTTCTCGAGCGTGAGGTGTGGGCGACCAAGCTGTGGGGGGGCTACGTGCGCTGCTGCTCGATGGCGATGCCACTCTCGCGCGAGCTCTTCTACGCGATGCCGCCGGCGCAGCTCGAGGCTGCCCTCGCCTCGCACCCGGACGTCAAGCAAAAGCTGGTCGCCCACGCCAGGGCGGAGCGCGGCACGGTGCCGACGGCTGCCTTGGGGGTTCTCGGGTTGTGAGCGGGTGTTGACAGTTTGGAGGTGCGGTCATTCGCCCGGTGAGAGAGAGAGAGTTGCGAGAGAGAGAGAGAGTTTTGCGCGGTTTACCGACAAGAAACTGAATCGAGGGTCTTGTGGGGACTGGGGAGCTCTCAGGCTCTCACGCACTCTCTGTGGAACTGGAGAAGGTGAGTGCCCGCGCGGGGCGGTTAGGGAGACGGGGAGTTCGCCCTTCCGCGCGGGGGGCGCGCGCCGCGCGGTCGTTGCGCGTGGTCTTGCGAGTCATATATTACGCGAACGCGTCAGGGGCGGAACCCGCAATTTGAGATGCAGAGGGCATCTTGAGTTGCAAAAAGTCAATTCAGGTTGCATTTTGTATCTCTAAGAACGCTGAGTTGATTTCCCCATATTTCAAGATGCACCGCACATTCCAAGATGTCCACGCAACCCAGGATACGTCGCGCCATCCTGGAATGCAAAATGTTACAAGTTCGGTTACGGCCGTGGGGTGGCGCAAGATATGCGCTGGACGCCAGCACGAGGCTGCTGCTGCTGTCAAGCGCTGCTGTCCTTCTTGCATGAGTTGCTGTCTTTGCAGTACTCGAAGCGCTCGTCTAAGCAGCCGAGCCTCTCGCCCGTCAGCGTGTTTGTGAAGACCTGCTTGGAGCGATACCAGCCGTAGGGCGTACCCCAGTGGAGCGGCGGGTGGTGCGTGGTGAGGGCGTGCGCATCGCCAGGTGCAAAAGGGCACGCGCCAGCGTGCTCCTTGCAAACGTCGGTGTCGATCTTGAGGAAGCGCACCCATTTGCCGAGGACCTTCCAATACTGCGAGAGCGTCGCCGTCACATTGGTGAGCGTGTCCGTGCCATTGTAATGCACGACCTTTCGTATGACCTGCTGCGCGCCGTGCACCACCGGATCCGGCGAGGAGCTCACGTTGCTGAATGTGATATTCGGAGCGACGATCTTCTCGTCGGCAGCGCAGTCGAACCAGACGCTTGTTGGTGAGGAAGAGGCGACGAGCGCCACGAGAAGTGCAACCATCGATTTGTCGATCACGCGACCACGCGACGCGATGATAGCACGGACCGCTTCGTCGCGTTCCCGGCGTTCGTCAGTATCAGATACAAGTCCGCCGCACAAAATAATTTTCGAGGCGCCACGCATTTCCGCCACGCCCCCCCGAGCTGCGAAACAACGGCGTCCACACCGGCCAGAAGCCCCAAAATTTTCTTCGGCGCTGCGCGCCGTTGCAATCGAGTGTAGGCACCTAGGCACATGTATGTTGCAGCCCAAATAGCTATCGTGCCGCAGAATAGGTCCATGTCCATGTGGTTAGAAAAAATGCTCGCCTCGAAAGCGCCCGCCGGATTGTGTCTACTCGTTTGGACGCATCCGACACACGGGCAGGGTTTCGCGCTTAGCAGCCGGCCAACGGTGATGTGCACGCCGTCGCGTCACCGACGGCTCGTGCTTGCGTATGATAGCAATCCCTCGTCTGACGGCAGCGTCCTCGTTCCGCCACTCCGCCCGCGCGGCATCATCATTGTCCGCCTACACAAGTGCGGGGTTTATGCGTGCGCCGGCGCAGGTGCAGCAGCAGCCAGTGCAGCAGCAGCAGCAGCCAGTGCAGCAGCGCGTGATCACGCTTGCACAAGCGGGCGGTCGTCATGTGCTGCAGGATGGGTCACTTTGGACGCGTCCCTCGGAAGGCCCCGCGTCCACCCGGCTCCACGAAGGCACAGCGAGGCGCGGTGCAATCAGTGGAAGCACCATCGGCTCAGAAAGAGCTCAAAGAACACCGATGCTGCCCGAAGCAGATGAGTCACGGCCGCTACGACAGGGAGAGCGCGGCGGGCCAGAGGAACGTCAAGGAGAAAATTCACCGAATGAAGCGCGGCGGCCGAGGGCGAAGCCAGCGCGGCGGCCGAGGGCGAAAGCAGCGCGGCGGCCGAGGGCGAAGCCAGCGCGGCGGCCGAGGGCGAAAGCAGCGCGGCGGCCGAGGGCGAAGGCGGCGCGACGGGCAAGCGGAAGCGCGAGGGTAACGGCGAGCTGGGCAAGGACGCACTCCGCGCCAAGTACCGCAAGCTGCGCGCCGGGCTGAACATGCGGCTGGCGGAAGCTGGCCACCTGCTCGAGCCGCTGCTGGCCGCGAAGCGGCTCGACGCGATCGACTTCAAGAAGGCGCCCAAGGGCGCGCTGGCCAAGTGCCGCAAGGCGCTGCTCAAGGACCCGGAGACGGCGGCGCGGTGGAAGAAGGCGATGGCCGCGTCGGACAAGGCGGTGCCCGACATCACCGACATTGTGCAGGCGGCGGCGGAGGGCGGCGACGACGAGCTGGAGCTGCTGCCGCGCCGCATCGCCAAGGCCATCGCCGCGCTCAAGGCGGCGCGCGAGCAGCTCAAGGCCAAGGCCGCCTCGATGCTCGAGCAGCTCGAGGCGGCCGCCGAGGCCGGCGCGTCGGGCGGCGACGCGGCGGGGCGCACGCCCGACGCGATGGCGTCGCTGAGCGAGGGCGGCGCGCTGCCGACGCTGCCCGTCGTGCTGACAGCCGAGGGGCGGGGCGTGCCGCCCTCGCAGCCGCCTGCGCTCCTCCTCGCCGCCTTTGTGGCGGCCTGCTCGCAGAAGCTGCGGCACGTGGCCGTTGACGGCGAGCTCATCGCCGTCACCTCTCCCGAGGAGGACGCCGCCATCGCTCAGGCCGAGGCCGAGGCGGCGGCGGCGGCTGAGCCGGGCGCCCCGGGCGCGTCGGCGCCTGCGCCCGCGCCCGCGCCCGCGCCCGCGCCCGCGCCCGTGCCCGTGCTGACGCCGTCCTTCGAGGCGTTCGTCGCTCGCGCGGCGGAGCCGTTTCGCCACGGCGGCGGCGGCGGCAGCGGCGCGGCGCGGCTGCTGGCGGGCGGCACGCGCATGCTCGAAGCGGTCGACGGCGGCGCGGGCGACGTCCTCGTCGTCTGCTCCGGCTTCACGCCTGCCTCCGACCCCGCCGAGCTTGCCGGCGCGACCGCGTCGCTCAAGGCGCACGGGATGCGGCTGCTGCTCGTCCACCGGCTGCGCGAGGCGGCCGACGCGGCGGTGGGTCGCTTCAAGCCGCGCGCCAACCTCCGGCCGATGCCGAGCCGCGGCGCGGAAATTGTGGACGTCTGCTTCATCCTGGACCTGAC